GGAGTCTGAGCCTTAGAGGATCACAGATTACTAGTGAATGGCCACGTATATATAGCTCTAGGACTCGAGTGTGAATACTGCTGTCATCATCCTAACTCGGTTTCTATAAACTATCCTTATTTATTTTATTTAAAAGTCTTGCAGGAAGTTATTAATCCAGGTGTGTGTTTATGTAGCCTTGGATCTTTCGATGAGATCAGAATTCAGTGTCACGTAGGTGCTTTGCTGATCTCACTATAGATTTTTAGCATCATTTAACTGCTCACATGACGACAATTACTTCTACTGGGAGAGGCCCTGCCAGTATTTCTAGCTTCTGCCTTTTCCTCCTGTGGCTTCCCTGCACAGGTGGGGAGCAGAGAAGTGGGGGGTACCAGAAGATCTCTGTGGATGTCTCTGTGGTGATCAGATGGTAGTGCAGTGTAGGGGTGACCGTGTGGTCTTCCAGGTCTGACTGCCTGAGGTGGAACCCCTAATTCCGTTATTAGTTACATGGCCTTGGGCAAGTTCTTGAACCTACAGACCTCAGTTTCTTCCCTTGAAAATGGGGATCATCACTGACTCATGGAGTCATCCAGAAGATTGAATTATGAACCTCAAGTGCTTAGTATGGCAGTACCAAACTTGTGGAGGTAATCTGCAAACGTCAGTCCTGTTATTATTAATCAGATGGCCTTTCCTTCCTTAACACCCTGCCCTTTGAGATTGTGCTGTTCACTGTTCATTAATTTCTTAGGCTTCTCGTTTCCTAAAACTTGTTTCTAACTTTTAAAGGGACCAGATTATTTTTTTCTGGAGAATCTTTTCTAACAAGACATCTGTATCCTTATCGGAAATGTATTGTGGCTTCTGTGGAGCCATAACAATAATAGGATTATGGCTTTATCTTTATAAGATTTGTAGTAAATAGTGAGCATTAAAGAAAAAGATAACCTCTGCCTTTGTTCCAGATCTTTTGGGAGGCCTGTTGTTAGGTTAAAATATATCCCAGTGGGGCCTCTGAAATGTTAGGTCAGACCTGCTGGAGGTGTCTGGTTTTGATCCAGTGCCACACAAAAGATGCAAAGAATTGCATAGAAATTAGATGGGAAAATATAGTTTATTTAGAAAGTAAAGAGAGAAAGGGAGAGAGGGAGGGAGAAGGAGAAAGGAGATTCACCTCCCCAAGGTAGGAGAGTGGGCCAAAGCTTAGGAAAACATGACCTGGTCATAGCTCAAAGAACACATGGCCAAACCATAGCTTAGCAAGGCAATGGCAAATAACTGTAAGAAGTCCAATCCTTTTAAGCTTTCCCTCTGATGGGGGCAGGTCGTTAAGGTGATTGGGTAATGGTCTGCTCTGTGTCATCACAGAAGGGGACAGACAAGCACAGGTACTGACATCAGGTGATGGACAGCAGGCAGGTGGGTGGGACAGTCACATGACTGTTGCCATGTTGATGGGGTCTGTCTGTGTCATGAATTTCAAGAAGGACTGATTAGGTTAACTTGAGTCTTAGGGTTGGAGGCAAATACCTGGAATAGGAAAGCTCATTAGGGAAAACAAACTGGGGAGGGAGTAAAACACTTATCAATTGTACCTCTGAGAAACCGGTTCTGTCCCTGGCCAGTAATTAGAAGGTAAATTAAAGTGAACTGCCAGAGATTCATGACAAAGCTAAGCACTGTTAAAATGGCTGATCATCTTATATCCTTTCACCTGTAATCCCAGCACTTTGGGAGACTGAGGCAGGAGGATCAACTGAGCACAGGAGTTCCAGTCTAGCCTTGGCAGCATAGCGAAACCTTGTCTTTACAAAAAAAAAAAATTAAAAAATTAGCCAGGCATGATGGTATACACCTGTAGTCCCAACCACTCGAGAGGCTATGGCAGAAGGATGACCTGAGCCCAGGAGACCAAAGCTACAGTGAGCTGTGATAGTGCTACTGTACTCCAGCCTAGGTAACAGAGTGAGACCCCAACTCAAAAAAAAAAAAAATCTTTTGGGAGGTTCTTGATTTTTGTCTATCAGTCTTGTCTCAAGAGTGAAATGGTTGCACTTGGGATTGCTGAATTGTAAGGAAGTTTTGCTTAGTTTTTCCAGTTTGAGCACTCAGTGGTGTAAAACCATAATCACCAAATTTCCCCAAAGGAGAGAGAAGGCAGGCTTGTTCCATATAGTGTGGTCCCATTATGGCTACTGAGAGCAGTGGGTGGGTGGCAGTTTCTTTCCCCTCCCGTCCACGCTGCCTGTTTACTATCTGTAGCATCTGTGTCAGCCCACACAGGGTATCTGACCTCTGTAGGACAATATGGAAGGCCCCTCTTAACATTCCTATTGGTGCTCTGCCTAAGGAAAGATTATTTCAAAGTGTGTGCTTGTTTATCAATATGGACGTATTTACATTTGTAGAATGAAATGAGCAGGAATTTAACAATGTCAAAATGTACCGTAACATAATCCAGACTTTTTTTTTTTGAGTTGGGGTCTCACTCTGTTGCCCAGGCTGGAGTGCAGTGACATGCTCACAGCTCACCACAGCCTTAACCTTCTGGGCTCAGGCGATCCTTCTACCTCAGCTTCCTGAGTAACTGGAACTACAGGTATGCACCATCATGCCCGGCTAATTTTTTAATTTTTTTGTAGCGATGCAGTTTTGCTATGTTGCCCAGGCTAGTCCTGAACCATCCATGCTTTTGAGGCACTTCGTTTTACCACCAGAAAGAAAGCCACAGCCGCAAATTTACAAGCCATAGAGCTTGGGCTTGTCTTTTTTCCTACTAGATTGTCACTCTGATAAGACAGGTATTGTCCTGGAAATTTATGGCTGCTGTACCAGTAAGTGCAGCCTCCTCATAAATGTGTATTTGTAAGAAGAGTCCAGAATGGCAAGAGTTTTCTGTTTTTGTTTTTAAAATAGCTTTCTTTTTTCTGCTTAGTTTCTAGTATTAGCAGTGAGGACTTAAGCAGCAATTTGTATTTTTCACTTCCTCTCTCAGAGAGATACTGCAGACTGTGCAGTTTTAATCAGATGCAGACAGCAGCTCTTGAAGAAAGCGAGTGTGAGTAGAGCAGATAATTGGATGTTGGTTATGGCGAGAATCACTAAACTTGGGGCTGCAGGGACTGCTTGACCTCCCCCATATGCATTTTGCATATGTTATCTGATAACAATCCCCAGTAACCCTTCACAAGAGTGCTACACTGGCTGCCATGGCATGGTTCAGTAACTAGCAGTAGGGTCTGGATTTGAATCCAGGAATCTGGCTCCAGGCCCCTCAGTCTCACCCTGGCCTGTGGTCCTGCATGCCACACCGTCAAGTCAATCGAATCTGTGTAAAAGCTCTAAATGGGAAGTTCCAAGTTGGAAGGAAAACTGTTACTGTAATGAAACATTTTCCTAGGCCTCGCATCCTTTACCCTTGACTTTGTTATTTTCCTTGATGCAGAAGTGTCTAGTTCTAAGGGAACACATAAAGAGGAGACTTAAAAATAGTAGATGATGTCCTAGTTTAAAGAACTGTCTTTCTTATATTTTTTCTTCTAGAACCATTTTAAAAATATTTCTCCACCTCTGGCCTTTCTACCTTTTTTTTTTTTTTTGCCTCTGCTAGGATGTTTCATACAAATTGACTCTTATCTGAAAGTAGTTCCAGACTTGATTTTGTTCAACTTTACAGTAAAAATTCATAGTTCAGCTGTGCTAGGTTGTGGCAGTGTAGGGAATTTCCATATAATTAAATTATATAGTAAATATACAGTTAGAAACTTGAGCCATGTCGTTTTAGGGAACAACGTTTCATTTTCTTTTTATCTAAAGGGATAAAGGTCCTTTACCTAACCCATCATCTTGTTTGGGAAATCAGTCTCTTTCTCTCATTTTCTCTCTCTGACTCTCACTTTCTCTCTCCTCTCTCATAACCACTGTGAATATTATGGATGACAGAATGACCCCCCCCCAAAAAAATCATCTGAGTCATATGAGTGCATACCTTGAAGGATGAGCTGTAAAATAAGTTTTGAAAAAGTATGTTCTTAAAGCCATCTCTACGGACTTTGTGCTATTTCTTATTTTGCAAGCTGGTTTCATCTCTGGTTTTGTTTAGCTAGGGAGTAACAGTTTCGCCAGATAAGAGGGTTTTGTTTTTTTTTTCCCCCTCCTTAACCTTGTGTAGGTTAGCCTGCCCTGCACGTATGTGTGTTTCAACAGACATAGGCAGCTCTGGAATTCGAGTGCTGCCCTGGGTCATCCTAACCTTTAAAACAGGAAAGTAAAAGGGTACAGAGCTGTGGATTAGATGAGATACTTGTAAAAAACCCTTGGGAAAGTAGAGAACTATTTGCAAGTATGAGGGCTTTATTTGCAATATCAGTGTAGACATTGACTAGGCCCAGTTGTTGGAATGACTTAAAAATACAATGCAGAACCCCGGGGTGCCTTGAAGACCAAGATTGGCCATTTATCATTGTGTTCTTAGTTGAAATCCCAATCAAGCTGCCTCGGGTGGTTGGAGACCTTGAGTGAACTCTCTCTGGAGCTGCTTTGGAAGGACACATCACCTGCCACATAGAAGATTCCTTGTGATGCAGGATGTCATTCTGTTACTTGTTACTTGACAGAATGTGGCAGCGGAGTTAAGGAACGTGTTCCCCAGATGAAGTGGCACTTGAATCCCAGGGAGGTGCCCTGCGTCACCTTGGAGGCATTTAACATGAAGATGTGTGTTTGACCCTTGCAGCACAAGGATACCCTTCCTCTCCTATGGCTCCCAAGTCCTGTCATTGTTTGGTTTGTCAGACCTTGATCAAGAGGTCTTTTTTGGAATTAACTTAATTATAATTTTGCTTAAATTTCTTTAGACTGAAATCTAGAAAAAAATGCACATGAGGGAAGAAATGGGGTGGGAAAGGGTAAGAATGGATGAGAATTCTGTGTTTTTCCATATTCAGGCAGATGCCTATATAATATGATGTTTAACTTTTGTTAAAGCTCTACTGTTTCTTGTTTTTCTCTTACAGCAATGATTTTGAAGAGTTCGAAGAGACTGAAAACTTACAAGATATGAAGTTGCTTAGGGAATATTTTTATCTATTTTATATACTTTCTATCATGGAATCAGCAAGCATGCGGATCAGAACTAAAAGGGAATATATTGCTGTGTGGTTTGCTTGGAAATAAGTTTTGTTTTAAAAAAATATATTGAAAAATGTGCCAGGCACCGTGGCTCATGCCTTGTCATCCCAGCACTTTGCGAGGCCCAGGCAAAAGGATTGCCTGAGCTCAGGGGTTCAACACTAGCCTGGGCAACATAGTGAGACCTCATCTCTACAATAAATCATAAAAAATTGGCCAGGCGTGATGGCACGCTCCTGTGGTTCCAGCTACTTGGAAGACTGAGGTGGAAGGATCGGCTGAGCCCAGCAGGCTGAGGCTGCGGTGGCCATGCACGAGCCACTGCACTCCAACCTAGGCAGTAGAGTGAGACTCAGACTCAAAAAGAAAAGAAAAATGTATGATGTTTCCAGGGAAGGAAAGAGCTCATGTTTTATCCTCTCTGCCATCTCAGCCACTACTCCCCTCCGCCCCCAGCCCTGACCTTGGTGATACACCTGCAGTTTCTCCATTATGATTACAACAGACAGTGGAACTATTTTTGTACAGTCTGAGCTTATGCTCGGTGGTGTGTGTGTGTGTATTTTTCTGTTCTCCCAATTCTTGCATCCCATTTTTTGATATTGGTTGTAAGAAGATCTTCATACATACAGTTTAGCTGTTACAACAGAGAAAAGGTGACTTTCCCTGGTAAAAGGTCCTTGGAAAGAATCTAGTCTGACCCTGATCACAGAGTCAGGTGGGACCAGATGCTCCATTTTGGGTTCCTAGGCCAAGAATTCAGCATTGGCCCCTGCTACCTCCATTCCACTCCGAGGTCACTTGTAAAATAATGAGAGGGTTATTTTCAACTTGAGCTAAACAACTCTTGTTTAGGCCACTGAATAAAGGGGGGAAAATGGCTAAGGTCACTAAAAAAAATTTATTGTTTTGACAACCCAAGGCTAAAACAAAAGCACCCCACTAATCATGTGAGATGGGCCCACACCTCCCTCTGGCATGTTTTTCTTGGTATACTTCCTGTTTCCCATCTCCTGCTTATTATTTAAAAGACTCTAGTAGTTCCTTCTTTTTAGGCCTGGCAAACCCTACTGTTTTTAATTTTTTTTTATCTTTACATTTTACAAAACACCTGAAAGAACCCAGAGGCAAAGATAGTAGTAGTCCATTGTTTATGGTAGGTCTGGGTGAGGGGTGGGGTGTCCTGTCATGGGAAGTCTCCATGACTTGCCTCGTCAGTGTTGGGGGTGCCTTGAGCACTTCTTTTATTTCAAAGAGAAAAAGCACATTTCTCATTTGGTTCCTAAAAGATGGTTTCCATGAAAATATCCTTCAGAGTATTTACTGTAAATGTACTTTTTAAATTCTGTTTCTGGCATCAGACTAAAACTTTCTAACCTTCCAAGTGAATGATAAATTCAATTTCATGTGAATTTTTACTGATAACTAATAAATGGTTTATGTGAATACATTGACATACACATGGAATAGAAGAAGTCAGTATGGAAATTTATTTCACTGAGGTCCAGAAAGTAGCAATACAGGAATTTTAGAGGTGTGTATTAGTGTAAATAGTTTATGTGCCGGCTAGGCCAATAGTCTTAATTAAAAACAAACAAGCATACTTTTTTGCTTTAGAAATATTATGCCCTCACAATGGTGAGGGATAAAATGTAAAATATTTTTCAGCTTTAAGTATTTTTTAATTTTATTCAAGTCAGAGCACTTTTTAAGTATAATGCAACAGGCAAGCAAATACTCAAAAATATTTAAAATTGTATTTATACCAAGAGTACGTTTTAAATATTTTCTAATACTTGAGCAGTTTTTGTCTGGCTGGCTTCCAAATATGCCAAAAGTTAAGTATTCAATATTTTCAACATGTCAGCTTTTTACTGGTTTATACTGTACGGTCGAGAATTCCTAACTGTCCCCAAAGCAACTGATGTTTACAGGCCTTGTGTTTTTCCTCCTTCTTGACAAGGGTGGAGATTCACACAAACATTGTAGAAAACACTAAATGATAGAAAGCATTTGGGGTCATCTGTGAGTTGGCTACCACCCTGATGTAAAAATTTGTAAAAGAAATTTTTCACCATTTTGAGTGTCAAGTGTATTTTTAACTGTCTGGTTTGTACTTTTATGACTTTTGTACTACCAAAGCAGAGTTAAAAATAAAAATTTTAAACACAATGTGTTATGTGAATGACTATCGATGGTGCCAAATACACTGAAAGTACTGTGGTAGTGATATAATTTATTGAGCTTAATCTTTTTTTAGTTTTTTGAGTCTGTTGCCCAGGCTGCAGTGCAGTGGCACGATCACAGCTGACAGCCTTGCTCTCCTGGGCTCAGGTGATCCTTCTGCCTCAGCCTCTCAAGTAGGTGGGATTACAGGTATGTGCTACCACACCTGGCTAATTTGTTGTTGTAGAGACGAGGCCTTGCTATGTTGCCTAGACTGGTCCTGAACTCCTGGGCTCAAGTGATCCTCCAGCCTCGACCTCCTGAAGTACTGGTATTACAGGCATGAGCCACTATACCTGGCCAAGCTTAATTTTTTACAATGCCTGATTTCTTATGTCTTGAAGTATCAAGTGATCATTTGGCTGACTTTCCTCATCAGAATTTTCCTTCTGGAGTACCCCTTCCCCAATATAGGCATACCTTAGAAATATTGTGGGTTCAGTTCCAGACCATAGCAATATAAAAAATAGCATAATAAAGCAGTCATACAAATTTTTTGGTTTCCCAGTGCCTATGAAAAGTTATGTTTACACTATACTATAGTCTATTATATGTCTAAAAAGACAGTATACACCAGCCTGGGCAACTTGGTGAGACTTCATCTCTACAAGAAATCAAAAAATAAGCCCAGTATGGTAGTGCATGCCTATAGTTCCAGCTACTTAGAAGGCTGAGGCAGAAGGATCTCCTGAGCCCAGCAGGTTGAGGCTGCAGTGGCCGTGAGCATACCACTGCACTCCAGCCTGGGCAACAGAGTGAGACTCCAACTAAAAAAAAAAAAGACAACGTACATATGTCAATATGAAATGCTTTATTCAAAAAAAGGCTAATGATAATTCTATCCTTCATCAAATTGTAATCTTTTTGCTGGTGGAAAGTCTTGCCTTGATGATGGCTACTGACTGATGAGGATAGTGGCTGGAGTGAAAGATAACAAGTCTGCCACATTGATGGACTCTTCCCTTCATGAAAGATTTCTCTGTGGCATGTGATGCTATTTGACAGCATTTTACTCTAGTAGAAGTTTCAAAATTAGAGTCGACCCTCTCAAACGCTGTTAGTGCTTTATCAACTAAGTGTATGGAATATTCCAAGTTCTTTGTTGTCATTTCAACAAGGCTCACAGCATCTTCACCAGGAGTAGTTTCCATCTCAAGAAACCACTTTCTTTGCTCTTCCAGAAGAACCAACTCTTCATCCATTCAAGTGTTGTCATGGTTTGGCAGCAGTTCAGTCCCATTTTAAGGTTTCTCTTCTAGATCTCTTGCTATTTCCACATCTGTAGCTGCTTCCTCCACTGAAGCCTTGAACCCTTCAAAGTCATCCTCAAGGGCGGGAATCTACTTCCATACTCCTATTAATGTTGATATTTTGACCTTTTCCCATGAATCACGAACGTTCCTAATGGCATCTAGAATCCATTCCATTACTTTGCCCAGATCCATCAGAGGAATCACTATCTATGGCAGCTATAATCTTATGAAATGTATTTCTTAAATAATTAGACTTAAAAGTTGGTATTACTTCTTGATCCATGGGGTGTAGAATGAATGTTGTGTCAGTAGGCATGAAGACAACATTAATCTTGTAAATCTCCATCAGAGCTCTTGGGTGATCAGGTGCATTGTCAGTGATTTGAAACATTGTTAAAGGAATCTTTTTTTTTCTGAGCAGTGAGTCTCAACAATGGGCTTAAAATATTCAGTAAATCATATGCAAACAGATGTGCTGTCATCTAGGCTTTGTTGTTTCCTTTCCAGAGCCCATGCAGAGCTTTAACGTAATTTTTTATTTCAATTTTTTTATTTTAAAGATGTGGGATACAATTCAGGGTAAGTATACATATGTTTCACTATGCAGGTACCCTTGCTGATGAGGTGTGGCCCCCCCCC